ATTTTGCGGGGGTGGGGGTGGGGGCAGAAACACCAGAGGTTGGGAGTTTGGAAACGACTGGGGGCTAAGTGAGTAGAGAGTGGGCGGAGAGAGGAGACAGTTCCCTGGAATCCGGCGGAGGTCGGAGGTGGGTGGTCATTGTGCATCACTGGTTGAGTCCTCTTCGGGGTTCTACTGAAGCATCCCCGATGTTGGGTTATGGGTTGTGGGGGATGGCTTGCTTGCCCTACTCGGTCTCCCCTGAGTTGGTAATCTCCGATCTGGTCCCTCTGCCCTTTTGGCACTTAAGTTCCTCTGGGAAAGGGCCCCTTGAGTGGTTTGAACAGCAGCGCCGGGTATAGTGGGGCAGGAAGTCCCCTCCTGCGTCCCGTCCCTTTGCTTCCTTTTTCAAATACTTCTTGTGGTTTCCTGACGTGAATGAAGGTGAGGTCCATTGCTCACAGACTGGTGCTTGGTATTTTGTCGTGGTGGCCGCCTTGGAGGAGAGGTAGGGCTTTGAATCTTGAAAGCGGGAACCAGTGGCTATAGGTTGTGTGGCATTCTATGGTTTGCTGAGCTTTCTGGGGAGATGGCTGCTTTGTGGGTCAGTTACGGGTTAGCTTGGAGGGTCTTCTATGTGTAGGGAATAGTAATTCCTAGGAAACTCCAGAAATAAGGCATCCTGGCAGAGTTGCCTCTGAAACCAATCTGGCCTTGATTTCTTGCTACCAGAACTGGATATCTGAGGGAGTCAGGGGTGGGAGTTTGCCCAACTGGTATGCAGTCCTAATTTAGGGAGTCATTATTCTCAAAACAGCAGGTGAGGAGGATATTGCAGGATCCCTCATGGCAGGGAGCTAGAAGGCATTTAAGGGGAGATGGTGGAACATAAATACCACATTTCAAAGCTCCCCTGGTTTGACTGTGATTGCATCTGTCTATGACTGACACTGGTTTTATTTTTGTGTGTATCTCCCTTGACTCTTCGTCTTTTTCACGTTTGTTTCCCCCTTGAGTCTCTAGAGACCATGTGCCCTAGTTTGTGGGAGACAACAGAGATAGTTGGGGAAGCAAATCTTGTGTGTTTGTGTGTGTGCACGCCTAACCCCTGCTAATTGCCATGAGGATCATGATCTAACTGTTGGCTGCTGCTCCCTTTTAGTAGTTTTTGATCATGGTGGGGCAGAAGCAAGAAGGTAGGTGAGAGGCTGATCTCCAGCTGACAGCTTGAGGCCCTGCCCTCTGGACTGTGACTCCAGCAGAGGCATGGTGGGATATTAGGGCTTGTGTTTGCTTGTATGTTCAGACAAAGAAAGGCTGTGAGAAACTGAAAGCTGGGCCATCTATCTTTGTAGTGTCTTGGTCTGTCAAAGGCCCCCTGTGCCCACCTTGCCCCTGCTGGGTCATTTCTCTGCTGCACACAAGCCCCAGGCTCTGGGGCTTAAGCCTGCTATTTGGCTAGCTAGGAGGACTCATTTGAGGCAGGTATGGCCATGGGGTCTATCCTGCTGTGAGGCTGGAGTTGTCATATATATTAATAGCCCTGAAATGGCCCAAAGTTCAGCGTAGTGCCCAGTAAACTCACTGGGCTGACCTCCTGGAATAGAAAGTTAGTTCTGAGGTTAGCCTATGCACGACAGCATGTCCCAGAAGCTCTTAGAATTTACCCCTCATCAGCTGCCCTGGGTCTATTTATGTGGCTGGTGACAGTGGCTGAATCTTAGAAGTAGGGGCTCACCTCTTACTGAGGGATGTGGTGTCTCACTCCAGTACCAGACTTATCTCCCCAAAGTGGGGGTGAGGCTAGGAAGATGGCTCTGGCCTAGACTGGAGTGGGCTACTGTTCTCTCTCCCACTCCCATTCTCCAGGCTTTCTTGCCTATTCAGGGGCCTTACAACTATACAGAAGAATGTGCCTTGGTTTTGGCACTGTTTTTATAGCTCTGAGAGCCATCATTCCTTAGATACTCTAGTTTGGGAGGTGCAGGCTCTGTGTAGCCTTCTTGAGGCTGGGCAAATGGCAGAACCCAGCAGCCTGTGCCTCTTTCCTGTGGGAAGGAAAGAGGCTGGTAGTAGTGGCTCTGTGGCATCCACCTGTGGCCTTTCCCTCATTTTCCAGTTGCTCTGGGACACATCTGGAAGGGAAAGCAGAGGCGCCTACTAGGCACCTCTTCCCAGGGGTTAAACCATGTGACTCCTGGGGGCTCCTGGCAGCCCCTCAGGGACTCTGTTTAGACTAATGACAACTGAGGAGAGTGTTGGGCTCTGTGCGTGGCATGGTGATGCCAGTCATTAGTGATATCATTGATGAGGGTAGCCTGCAGAAGAGCTAGGGCAGATTGTTTGCACCAGATCTCAGTGGAGCTTTTCTCCAGTACTGTTTTTTTCTTCTTCTTTTTTCTTTTTCTGGCAAATCTTTTAAAAGCAGCACCAATAGTGGCATATCCTGGAGACAGGGTTGGCAAAGGTGGCCAAAGAACAGGAACAGTGCTCAGGCCACTCCCTAACATTCCCATTTGCCCTTCATGTTTCAGTTACAGGCTCAAAAACTGCGACTGGCATACACAAGGAACTCCCATTACGGTGGTTCTCTGCCAAATGTGAACCAGATTGGCTGTGGCTTGGCTGAGTTCCAGGTGAGTGGACACCAGCCTCAGGAGAGTGCAGGCTCTTCAGCAGCTCCCCCCTTGACTCACCTGTGTGTTTTGGCAGAGCCCCCTCCACTCACCTTTGGATTCATCTCGGAGCACTCGGCACCATGGACTGGTGGAACGGGTGCAGCGAGATCCCCGGAGAATGGTGTCCCCACTCCGCCGCTACCCTCGCCACATATCCTTCACAGAGAGTTTGGGGAATTTGGAGGGCGGTGGGTTGCAGTCCCTTAGGAACTCATGGTGGGAAGGGACTTTAAGTGTTGTCCAGTTCCATCCTTCTCCAGGGGCTCTCCTTTACGCAGCCTCCCAGAAAAGTGACCATTTGGCCCATGTGTCAGCGCTGGCTCCTGTGCAAGGGAGTGGCTGCTCCGGGGCTTGTGTCCTCCATCTCTTGCTGGCTCTGACTGTCCTTATTCAGCTTACTCTTTGCTATCTCCTGCTAAAGGGGGTTTGGTTCTCTTCTTACATTTCTGTCCTTAGCTTTCAGTCTCAGAGACCTCCACAGATCTGTCTCCC